GGCCTTTGTATACGGGTGTTCGAGATCTCCTTGTAACAAAACACGCACCTAAACACATATTAACAAATAAATAAATAAAATAACTAACACAATTTTTTTATTTATTGTCTAATAATAAATCTTACAGTCAATTCTACAATTTCATGCCATTTTCCTGTTTTAATAACTTTTGCCAACCGAACACGATCTTTTCCATAACTTTGTTCCTTAAGGTAAACTTCTGTCATTATTTTTTTAATAATAATAAATGAATTATTATTTTAGACTGGACCGGAAATCCATTCCTAACTGATATTAGGTGAAGATCTATAAATAAAACATTTAATATTAATTCGAATCGCATGATTTTTTGATTCACTAGATTCACTAATTACTTGCCACATTTAGTAAGTTTATGCTTAAATATTTTTTTAAGATGAATGATTAATATATTAAATGTAAACATATATGAATATGGATGGATTAAATGTTAAGAAATGAATGGAATCTTGGTTTTTTTATTTTTTTCAAGAAAAAATTTTTGGATATTGCGAAAACAATACCTTTTAATTAATAATAATAATAATAACAACAATCAAACTTGAGTTGAGGGTATTTTTTTAGTAAACAAAATACGCCGTCGATAACAACATCAACAATAATTAAAATGGTAGCGGCCATGACATCACATTTTCCAAGTTTTTCGACCTTTTTAATTTCAATCTTTTTTTCCCAAGGTAAACAAATAAACCATCAATCAATCAAATCATAACAAAAAATATTACTATCATCATCATTAATAATAAATTTGTTTTACTAGTAATCACATTGGTATATTATGCATATAATGTATTTGGTTTTTTACAAATGTCATTACGTGGAGAAGATTTCTTGACCCCGAAAAGAAAAGAATTACTTGGTTACGAAGTTCCACAATCTGGTGCTCTGGTATTATCATCATCATCATTATTTAATTATTAATTCTTGAGAATATTAAAAGATTAATTTATATTACATATTTATATAGGCAAGCTTATTATCCACATTAATGTTAACTCAATTAATATTTATGATTCATTCAATTAATCAAATTGATGATGGTTTGACGGTCGTAATTATTAGTTTGGTCCTTTGGTTAGGTAAAATTATTATATTTTTTTAAAATATTTGTGGGTCTTTTGTTCTAAATCTCCTCTAATCTTCCTTCTCTTCTAATTTCAGTTTCAAGCGTATTGATGTTTACACGTTACATCACTTACAGTATGCCAGCAAAATTATATTTAATTGATACAATACACGATGCTTTACAATTGATTGCATTAGGAA